TACTGGCCGAGCTCCTTGAAGCAGAGAGACCAGATATTGTTTTGCTAAACAGTACCTGCCTCAAAGCCCCTCAACGTATCTGCCATTATGGTTATACTGCACTACAATCCCCCTATGATCCCCACAATGGGGTTGCCATCCTTGTCAAATCCAACATAAAACACGAATCTCTCCCAATCCCTTTTATTCACCAACACTGTCTTGCAGTCAGAATACACACCCACCTTGGCCCCTTTATCTTTTCACACACCTATGCTCGCCCAAACACTATTCTCAACATACACGACCTTTCCTTAGTTTTCAACTACACCAACACACCAACATACCTACTAGCTGACATGAATGCCAAACACACCGCCTTTCATCACACCAGTAACAACCAACTTGGTCACCAATTACTCAACTTCACTAACCATAAACACCTAATTCATCTCGGCCCAGACTTCAATACCTTCTTCAATCACACGGGCCAAGGCAAACCAGACATCATTCTGGCAAACCGAACCAGCTCTCTATTTCAACACTACATCTCGCCGGGCCCTATTACAGCTCTGATCACATCCCAGTCATTTTGCACATCTCCTCCAACCCTAAACCTCATTCCAACCACACCTTCCTTCTCCTACAAGAACGCTGACTGGGATGCCTTCAAACAATACATAGACAATATTAACCTCACCTATGACTACAACAACAAACCTATCTCTGACATCGATACTCAACTTGATCTCATCCAGGACACCATTACACAAGCAGCCAACAACGCAATACCAAAGAAAACTCACACCACTCGTTATTCCTTCAAACCGTCACTCAGAACAAGAAGACTATCTGCTACCACAACCGCTTCCTCTACAACACACACAGATTTAATCAAGTTCGATTAGATCTCACTTACCTTAGAAACAACATTCTACACAGTCTAGACCAAGACCACAACAATCACTGGTCACAACTCATACAACAAGTTGACAAACAGCGTATTAAAAACACTAAAGCCTTCTGGAACTTTATTAAAAAAATAAGAGGCACTACTCCCACCAACAAATTCAAACACATCACCCACAACAACACACACATCTCAGACCCGCAGGCTGCTACCAACATCTTCAAACACATCTGGGAGAACATCTTCCACCCTCACCGACCTCACCCTAACGTTATCCAACACATTCAGAACATAGAACACTGGAACACTGCACACACACAAGATACAACACCAGATAGCCACATTCATCTAGACTCTCTTACCTCCTTCCAAGAACTCGACACTTCTTTCACCAACACAGACATTAAAACTCTCCTCAGACACCTTCCTCCCAAGGCTCCTGGCGCCTCTGGCCTAAACCATATTATCCTAAAACACCTTCCTGACTATCATTTCTGCCTACAAAAACCTCCTCAATGCCTCCCTTGCCTCTGGATACTTCCCTTCCCTCTTCAAAGCTGCTACTGCTATCCTCCTTCCTAAACCCAAAAAAGACCACTCTGATCCTAGAAACTAACGCCCTATCAGCCTCCTCGAAACTTTAGGAAAACTCTTTGAAAAACTCATCAACCATCGCCTTCGCAGATACCTGGAACACAACTCTCTACTTTCTGATGGTCAGTTTGGCTTCAGAACACACAGATCCACACAAGATGCCATTAACATCATTCTCAACTACATCCACATAAACATAGAACAAAGAAACAAGACAGCCCTGGTTGCAAAAGACGTTGAAAAAGCTTTTGACACTGTCTGGCACCAAGGGCTCAAGTACAAACTCTGCACTATAACCTGCCTCTCACTACTCGTAAACTCCTCTGCAACTTCCTAGACGGCCGTACCATGAGAATCAAATTCCAAGGCTGTTACTCTGACTACTTCACACTAAATGCTGGAGTACCCCAGGGATCTGTCCTCTCCCCTACCCTCTACATTTTATATACTAACGACATTCCAACACCTGTATACCAAAAACTCCATCACACTAGCCTATGCAGACGACATTACACAACTTATCACTCATGCCAATATAGATACACTCACACACAAAACACAAAATGAGGTCGACAGGATAGCCATCTGGGAACAAAAATGGAGGATCAAAACCAATGCAGCTAAATCCAGCATTACATATTTTAACTACAGAAAACGTGATCCTCCATTACCTGTCGAGCTCAGAACAGCTGACACCCGCACTTACATCCCCATGACACAATCTGTCACTGTCCTTGGCGTTAATCTTGACTACCTTCTACGCTTACACGGACACATTCACTCAAGGCATGCAATAGCTAGTAAGGCCCTTGCGGGCCTCTACAAGCTGAAACATGCCTCTCAACGCACCAAACTACACCTCTACAAATCCCTTATACGTCCTCTGATAACTTACTCTCCTCTAGCCCTCTCTCTTGCAGCAAAAACAAACTTACTTAAACTGCAGCGTGTCCAGAACAAGGCGCTGCACTGGGTGCTTGATGTCAGATGGGAAGACTTCGCCACATGCGAGTCTCTACATGCCCAGTTAGACATCCCTGCGCTGAATCTGTACTGGAAGACGCTCAGTGACAGACAGATGACAAACTTGTGACACGACATGACTACTGGACCTCTCTCCTTGACGAAGACATTCGCAGACCCACAAACCAACACAACCTTTTCTACTCCTTGCATGATCCTGCTCCTAACCCTATTTACAAATAACCTTGGATTCTCCGAGAGGTACCTTCTATGACAGGTACCATTCCCCTGATCCACGTTCGCCTTACCCTTTGGGTTAAGACATGGCTCAGTTCTACACTCCTCTCTAGCTCTAAACGTCGCATGTCCCTTCCTTCCCGCTCACCCCACCGGAGTCCCAACAGAAGAGCCTGAATTTCTCTTCTCAATATCTGTCCCACGATTGCCTCGCTGCTTGGTTAAGCCCTGGCTCTATTTCTACGACTAAGAACACTCCTCTCCAGCACTATTCTTCGTCTGTCCCGTCTTCCCCGCTCATCCCATTTGAGATCTTACCTGAACTTTCGTTCGTTCATTCGTTACTTCTGGTTAGTGTGACTTTGTCAATGGTCCAAGGTCGGACCGAAACGCCGTCGTAAGCTTCTCTCTTTTATGTGCGGGTTATTTGTGTATCGTTCCAGTCACGGTATTGTGCCTTTTTTTGTTATAGTTGGTTGAATTGGTTGGCTTGCAGACTAGCATGGCATCTGTTTGGATTGTTGAGAGAGTATCTGGTTGGCAGGGAAGCTGGTTGGCTGGCTGACAGGACAGCTGGTTGCCAGGGCGGTTGATTGACTATCATGGCAACTGATTGGATGGTTGACAATGAAGCTCTTTGGCTGGCTGACAGGGTGGTATAACATCAGGTTGTCTGACTGACAGGACTTCAGAGTGGCAGAATACATGGCTAATTGGTTAACAGTTTCCCATCCTTTGACAGGTCAACTAGTTAACCTGACTGACTGGCTGTTTGTATTAGTTACTGGCAGTCACTCTGGTACATCGTGATTGCTTTACTTTGTGAATAAAACAATACGCAATTTGTTTCATTTTATTGAGAAATCGTTTCGTCTGCGGGGGGAAACGTCTTACGATAAACCCCATAACCCGTAAACTGCCTTGTTCACATACCTGTCGGTACGCTATCACTGATGTGCATTTCCTGGGTCTGTATGTGCGTGGCAAGCGTGTTCTTAGTGTCATGACTTGCACTTGGGTGTACTCTGCAGGTGCTTCCCACTGAGTACACGGGAAAGGTATTAAAGATCTCACCCTCTGTATCCAGGTTATCTGCTAAGAACAAGCTACACTAGTGTTATCTTCAGATAACATGACCCCTTACCTGAGGTACTTTTTCTCCCTATATAAACATGTTCCCTTCTCGCTGTTTTTTGTGTGTTGAAAGGGAAGGATTAATATACATAATATACAAGAATTAGTATACATAATTTCCATTGTTTTTGTTTTCACGTGAATTATGTAGCATCAAATGTTATATATATATAATATATATATATATATATATAATATATATATATAATATATATATATAATATAATATATATATATAAAATATATATATATATATATCTCAATAACACTGCACTGACAGTTCATTGCGACTTATCTTGGATTTATATCTATAAACAAGCAGGACAGAATATATACATTTAGCAACACAAGACACTCAGTGATATACTGGATATAATAGATAATTGAGACAGTGCGGGAGATCAAAGTTCTTATTAGGAGAATTTGATACATCACCCTGCTGCTCCATCTGTGTGTGTATGGGGGAGGGGTTACCGGAGGGACACAAGGGTTCGTAGAGGGAATAAAAAAAAAGAGGGCACGTGGATGATGCAGAAAATTGGGATGCATGGGGATAGAGACGGCTGGGGATTAGAGGGAGTGACGGTAAAGACAATGAAGATCGTGGGTGGTTAGAGAGAATCTATTAATTTCACAACGTTATCGTTTTTTAGTCTTATTTATTTTTATTTTCCTATGCATATTGGTACTTGTTTTCGCTTTTAAGAAATACATTTCTTATAGAAAGGAATATACAGTAAAAAAGTGAGAGGAGTTTTTTGTGAGGACTGGTGTAATGACCACGTGCTGCTGCTTTCAAACTTCCCGCCACTACACACGCAGATTTACTCTTAAATTTATGGAGGATATATATTTAGCGATGACGCTTGGCACATGCTTGTAGTTCTTGATTTTAAGTGTGCTTAAACATGAGTGCATGTGCATCTTTAATATGTAGCACTCTTTGCAAATTAATAAAGTTTTCATAAAGAAAATTGTGATATAAAGGAGCCACTTGTTGATCGTGCGTCCCCTGCTAAGGGCGGGCTGGGAGTGGACGCTTTGAATGAATCTGCCGTCCCTGGGCGAGTGCGCGAGAGACGCACGCTGAGTGGCTGACGCGGCCACTCAGCTACGATATCGACCAATCACAACCTCAGTTTCAAGCAGGTGACTCCAGTTTCAAACGTCGAGGCTCCAACACCAAGCACAAGTTAGTGTGTATCGTGACAGCGTTGTGAGAAGGTGGTAGTATCTTGGTGTAATATTTGGTGCCGCACTAGTGAAGATATACTTTAGGTGATCAAAAATGGCTACCAGTTCCACAGATGCGTTCAACACTCAGCTGGGTAACAGCATCCCACTGTTCACTAATTACTCCATGGTGTCAGTCACTACAGGAGCTAACTTTTGGCCGACAGAAGCCACGTCAGATTCCACGTCTCCAGTCTCTGAGAATAACTGGGATGTGGACGAAGAAGAGGCCATTAAGAGGAGGATCTATGAACTCAAGAGGCAGTTCCACAACGGCAGATACCTCATCGTCCGCCACCTTCCCCGCGACGCTACAGAAGAGGTACAGTACAAAGGAATTTTCTTTGCAGTGTCACTCAGCGCTTCAAACGTTCCCTCCCACCTTGTCCCACCAAGATCGATGCCTCACCGCTATAATTATATTTTAAAATAGTATGTGGCGTAGTGTTATAACTGAATCCAGATGGATAATGCAGGGACGTCCAGGAACATTGTATACGCAATTAAAACTTTATAAATGGGCAGATGTACAATGTTTTAAATATTTGTTTTTATTTATCTACGTTTTGCACGCCATGAGCTTTGTCATGCCAGGAGCTTTGTCAGGCCAGGAGCTTTGTCAGGCCAGGAGCTTTGTCAGGCCAGGAGCTTTGTCAGGCCAAGAGCTTTGTCAGGCCAAGAGCTTTGTCAGGCCAAGAGCTTTGTCAGGCCAAGAGCTTTTGACAAAGCTTGACAAACCTGGTGAGCTAAATGTAGCCAAAAAAGTAAAGTACCCGGAACGTTGCATATACATCCATTTACGTAATTAGTTTTATTTTTACATCATCTGCTCTGAAAATTTAAAAATTCCCGTTAGTTTACGAATGCCAAAATAAAATGATAATAATTTTTTTTTCCCGTATGGGTAAAATTTTGCCGGGTCGCCCCCAACCAAGTGTGTAATATTGAGTTTGATCGACCTTTCACTGGTGTAAAAAAAAAATTTAATTCGTGGTCTATTGGCCCATGTTAGGCAGGCTTAACCCCCCCCCATTTCACTCTGGACCTGTCTATTATTTTAAAGGTATTGAAAATAGAGGAAGGAAAGATGTTATTTATAGCGTTGAGAGAGCCCCGTAGAAATGTATAATTTGGTTTTTGTTGGGATACCTTTTTTAAAACCCCAAATTGCCCCCGTGTTTATGTTATTCCTGTAATGTGGGATTTTTCAACCATTGTCAAATTTTAAAAATATTTTTTAAAAAATTAACTCATTTGAGTGAAGTTGTTTTGAGGGGTACTTTGGTTTGCAGTGTTACACACTGCTTGGGGTTTTGTGTTTTAATGGGGAATACATCAGAAAAACTGCGTGGGGGTACTTTAAATCTGCTTTAAAAACTACGCAGTAAATTTTTTAAGGCTTGTACTAACTTTTTCGCGAGTTCGCCAGTAAAGTTTTATTCGCGTCCGCGAGCGTTAGGTGATAGTGAGTGGCGGGTGGGTGTGGGGGGAAAGTGTGGTGGTGGTGGTCTTGGTATTCTTGCATTACTGTATTCTCAGCTTCGCGTTGTTTTTTTTTTTTGTTTGTTTAATTCCCTCCACGCAGCACATGTAAGTCGCCCCTACCCTGTGTTAACCCCAAATTTTTTATTTTCCCCTGTCACATGTATACGTCTTGCTCACACCCACAACAATCATATGGATGTTGGAGGGACTATTGTACAGGGGAGCAGGAATGGGAATAAATTTCGAATGTTTTAAAAATAAAACCCCTTTTAAAACTGGTTTAAGAGTAGGTATGATAAAATACAAGGGGACGTGCCTGCGATGAGGCTTAGTCGAGGTTATACAAATCGGCTTACACGTACACTTGCACGCACGCATATAAGATTTTTTTTAGTCTCATTGTAGCAAAAAAATAGAATGAAATTGCTGCAGTGAGTGGGGGAAAGGAAACTCCATATCTGTTTCGGAGTCGAGGTAACAGTTGAAACTAAACCATGTGTACAAAAATGCTTACATTGTGTCCAGAATATCTTGCCTTAAATTTAAAAAGGGGGGTTGAGAACCAAAATTAAATATTTCGCCAGGGAAAGTGAACACAGTTTTCTGTACTCAACGTATGCAGACAGTAATAAAAATACCTTCAGTGCAGCAGGAAAAGACTGAAATGACTTAACTATAATCATGTAAAGGCGAGCAACAACATAAATCCAATTAAAAGACTAAATAAAACTAATGAGTACCAAATTTTTTAAAGTTCAGAAGGTTAAGAAAAAAACAACTTAAATTTGATCATAATATTGAAACTAGAAATAGTGTGGAAAAAAATGCCCCCTAGAACTCTTAATATTTTTTTCGGCACTTTCTTGATGCTGGTAAAGGGGCTCTTGACCCAAGCAATTATAGCAGTCTTACCCCCTTCCTCTGCAAAAAATATTTTTGCCTCGTAATAATGTTGGTAGAATTACGGACAATGTCAGGTAAAAGGACACACGCGCAACTAATGTGACATTTTATTGTAGCAACATTCGCTTTCCATGAGCTTTGTCAAGGCTTCGCAAAGCTCCTGGGGAGCGAAACGTTTGCTACAGTGAAAAGTTACGCTAGTTGCATACGTCTTTTTACCTAACACAATTGTTTCGTATTTCCAGGGCGTTGTATGAACCTTAGGGGTTTGGCGGTTCCCTGTATAGTCTAAATAAAAATTAAACAAATCTAACATATGTTGACGGATGCAGTGAGTTGTCAGGATCAGTGAAGATAAAGGCTCAGAGGTCATACATAAAATCAGGCATCACTCAAGGCACACACAAACCTCATATTCCATGTGCAGGACTAGCAAACAAAAAAATAAGAACTTAATGCAGGAACATTGCGGTAGGGTTATTGACCCGTACTAGGAAAATTCGACTCTCACCTAACCACATCCACTCATACGTCATATACGAGAATAGCATTTAGGAACATTAACATAGACTTATACACAACATACTAGGCTAATCATTGAGCATTTGGCCCCAGTGTGGAGCTCCCACCCGGCGAGGCACGTTAGATGTTTGAAAAGGTTTGAAGGTTTGCATCAGGGCCAGTCCCGGAACATATATTTTTATAGGGGAAGCGTAAACCCGTAGGGTCAGTTGGAGCCATGGGAAAGAGAGCCGGCCAAGTTCGATCCATGGAGCGGAGGGATGCGGTCAATTTCTTGAATCAAGATCCATTTACCAGCAACTTCCCTTTAGGGGCCTTGAACGAGAGGAATGCACAATGAAGAGAGGGTGAAGGAACTGAATCTGGTGACCTTGACGGAGAGGACTAGGGTGGGACAATTTGACAGCACATTGATATATTCACCGAGATGTGTGTATATACTCTGAGAGTACATTAAATTCTGTTTTAAGGATTAATATATCCTTGACAGATGGACAGGTAACACCTGCAACCTTAGTGACCATGTAGTCGATATGCTTAAATCTAATAACCTGTAAAGTAACTAGCCCATTCTTATAATAACTTATAATTCCGAATATTTCTAAACGATCAGCTGTCACAGTTTTTAGCCATTTATTATTGAAGTTTCATATTTAACTGGGTTAGATTGCTGTCTAGCAGTTAAAAATAAACCTTTCATAACTTACGGGAAAGCCAATAAATGAAATTAATTGCAGGCTTTTTAAAAATTAGGATGGGAACAGAAAATGGGGACTGACAGGATATACAACCTGTTTTTTAGCCTGCATTACAATTTCATTTATTGCTATTGCACGTATGCTGTAATTTGTTTATTTCGAGCGCTAGGCACCTAATCATAAGTAATGTAAAAAGAAAAATTTGATATAGAAATCTTTGTGAGACAGCCGTTTATATACAGAATTCTGAATGTTGCTTAGGATGGTGAATTGAATTACCCATTAAATTAAGGGAACCTAAGTATACGCCGAAGACAAAGCTTATACGTGTTAAGCAGTGTTTAGTCAAGGTGTCTGAAGTGAAGCGAGCTGCATTACGGAATGGTGGAAGCAAACTTAATACACAGCTTAAAGAGTGCAGATGATAAAACCCAAAAGGCCAGAAATCTCTTTATGCCGATCAAAGCGAGGTCAGAAGCTGAGGCACAACCCCTATAAACACTGTTGATCCCATAAACATCGATACAGATACCTGCACCCTCAAGAAAAATGGTAACATACGAGGAATTGTCAAAGTTAGCAGGAGGCTTCAACACCTTAAAAAAGTGAATTGGTAGATGGAGAATGGCGCCATGGGATACTGGATCACTTCATTATGACCGGTTTCCAGGATACTTCTTTTACCTCGCTGCCCGGCCAGGCTTTCAAGTTAACTGCCTGGGTCAACCTGGCTGTATCTGCTTACGGCCGATGACAAATTAAAATCCGAAGCAGACTGATGCAAGGAAGGCACCGGATCTGTACAAGACCGTGATGATGAAGGAAGAATATTGACTATCAATAGATTATCTAAAATCTACAGTACTATAATTTAAGATAGCCTGGCCAACAAATAGAATGAGCGTTTTCGCACACCCACTACAGTTCGTCGATTTTTATCCGATCTGAGCTTTTGCCGAAAAAATGCAAGTTAAAAGTTGGAAAGTCGTCTTTTCTCTTATGAAAATAAATATTGAAAACTAATAAAATCAACGATAGATTGATGGCTAAAATTAAAATTAATTATTTTACAAGTGTTCTCAGTAAAGATATTGAACCGGTTTTGCAGAGAAGTGTGGCCAAATGTTAGAAACCTGTGACTGATAATATCAAAAGTTCTCACTTTCAATGAGCACAACAATATTATCGCAGTTGCAAGAAAAATGATAAGTTGGATAACTAGCACCTTCAAAACTAAGAGATGCCAAGCCATTGATATTCTTCAGGTCTCTTATTCTCTCTAGGCTGGAATATTTCAAGGTAGGATAAATAGCAAAGCTGGAAAATGTACAGAAAAGCTTCACAGCTCGTATAAACTCAGTCATGCACCTAAATTAATGGGAGCGTTGGAAGTCCCTAGATCAGTACTCCTACAACAAAAGCGAGATATACATCATAAGATGATACTGGAGGTATTGGTTCCGAACTTGCACACCGAAATTACTGCTTATGAGCACAGACTTGGCAGACAGTGCAGGATGCCTCCATTGAAAAGCAGGGGAGCAGAGGGATTACCAGCAATCCCCTAGCTGTCTTCAAGAGAGAATTCTACAGATTACTCATAACAGTTCCTGATCACATTAGAAGACTGAGAGATATCTTAAATCCTTCAGGTATTCTTGGTTAGGTTAACGGAAATTGTTTATAGTTAACTAACAGTAGTGAAATAAATAGTTGCCTTAACGTTTGGCAGTACGGTAGCTGTGTATCTTACCCTCTGTATCGTTGGTATTCCAACGTGGTCCATTGGACCCCCAACAGCAATAGCCTGGTTGAACAAGGAGGCTTGGCCCCAGGTCAGGCCGCGATTGCATGGAAACTTGACACAGATCGTAGATAAATCACAAGCACGTTAAAGTTGGAGAACGGGCTGTGTGCAGCAGGGACACATC